ATGTGGAAGGAGACGGTATTGAAGAGTTAGAGCTCTGGTTTCCTGCATCCACATCGCCAGAGTCTTTTCATTTACATATCTCACATAGCGCTCTATTTTGAAAGATGTCTTCTGTAGAAAGTTTTTGCAAACCACTTTTTATTTACACATGTGCGAAATAAGTGCTCAAGGGAAACAGAATAAGCAAAATTATTTGTGTTTCATTAGAAAACGTTTTCCACACTTACCTTTCCCTCTTTCTTCCAAGTTCCAACTCTCAGTTTTTAAAAATGGCATTTTCAAAAATAATAATAGAATTTGAGAGCAAATCATATGAGGGCCTGAAAATATTTGCCTAAAGTCACATTTGTAATCAATCACACAACCACACATTGAACCAGGTCTCCCAGCTTACGGGTCACTTGTGTTAGGGTTTTTGCTCACCCATGTCCTAAGCAAGGGAAATTCTCTGATACCACAGGGAAAGCCTCATTGCCTGAGATGCTTCTGTATAAGAAATTTATCTTAGTTTTTAAATAAACTGCATTTGGAGACTATGTGAAACTGCAAAATAAAATCAACATCTGTATAAAGATCCACAAAAAAGCCTCACTTTTTTCAGACCACAGACCACATCCTTTAACCTCAGTTTGTATGCTCAGTATCCAAAGCCAACCAGACTTCTAAGTTTCCAATCAGAAGCTCAGGATCTGGAAACGAAACATGGCAATATACTCCAGGAATTCTGCCTCTTTTCCTAGGCAACTATAAACCTCCAATAGGTTACAGAACCTCCAATAGGTTACATCTCATTAATCCCAGACAAGTCTAGTGTGTGTGATTTCAGGAAAGTCATTCTCTATCTGCGAATCTCAGTGTCCGGAAAGAAAGAGTATGCACATTTTTATTTGTTGTCAAGATTAAATGAAACATTATTGGCATGAAGTGAGTGCTCGAGATATTTTCACTACATCTTTCGATTCACTATTAAATATTCCTAGACTTACATGTGTGATCAAAACATAGTGGGTATTTAAATTTTGAAAATTCATTACAGTAAATGATTCAAAATCCTCCACCTCACCTATCCATCATTCTTGCCACCTGCTGAAGAATTCTAGAAGTCCCTGTTTGAGTGATTTTTCATTGCACTGTCAAGACTGCCTCAATATTCTCAATCAATTCAAACATTTAACCTTTCATGATTGTTTTGGCTTTGAGGAAGAACCAGAAATCACATGATACCAGATCCAAAAAAGCAAAATAGATAAAGACACACAATGATGCTTTTATTGGACAGGAACTGCCAAAAATATTTAATCAATGAGATCACAAAATACAGTGAGTGTTTAAATAGAATTTGTTTCAGTAAAAACACATTGCCAATCATCTCCTTCAAAATACTCCCCATGGCTTTGATCATACATGTCCTATCATTCTTGGCAATATGTCTCTTCGTGTAATAGGGTCTTTTTAATTTAAAAACTCACTATATTTTTGGATCATCACTTTTAAATTATTAGGACTAAGCCTAATAAATAAGTGAGGTCAAATCTACAGGTTCAGAAATTAAGTTCATTTCCAGTGTATAACAAACCAGTTCATTCTATTTTGTTCAGTGAAACAAACACACACTGAGTTCTTGGTATTTGCCAGACATAGCATTAGACTTGAACTATTAGAAATACCAGATATTCAGTTCCTGCTCTCAAGAAACTGATGATATAAATTACACCTGAAAGATAACATTTCATACATTATTTTGTTGCTGTTTTGTCTTTGGTGTTGAATTGCATCCGGGGCCTCATGCATGCTAAGCACATTCTGTGCATTGAGCTACTACAAGCCCTGACTTGTCCAAGATTCTTAAAATTCTCCAAGAAAGACTTATCTCATCACATTGTCAGCAACTTTCATATTCAATTCTCGGTTCTTTGAGGAGAGAGAGTGTGTGTGTGTGTGTGTGTGTGTGTGTGTGTGTGTTCCAATGCATTGAAAATCAGTGTATCTTTATTTCCTTTTATTCTAGGCCCCAGAAGAAATTATAAATGATTGGTCACCATTCTTCACATAACAAGTCTTCGCTCTCTGAGCGTTATTGAGTTATTGCTCTAGCTTCTCTTTCTAGATTAAATGATTCCAGTCCCTTTAACATTTTCTCAGAGGTCCCATTTGCCAACCTTCAGTTTAATCATTTTCATTGCTCCCTTTTGATGTTAATCTAAGTCCCTACATTAAAATATGTTGCTTTCCTTAGTTCACTCTTTTAAACAACTCACCCATACACAGACCAAGACAGCAAAGAGAGCCGCCTCTAGATAAAAGGATGGTAGATGGACAGATTTCCTGTGTAAGAACTCGTGTAGAGCACTCACATCCTCAAAGCAAATTAGCATTTGCTGTCACCACTATTAGGCAGGAAGCACTAAGACCAGAACAATTTTTTAAGTAGTGCCAACCATTCCACTTAACAATAATCTAAATTACGTTTAAGTAGATAAGACTGTTAACAGCAGACTTGAGATTACACCTGAGATTCTCAGAAGGGCATCAATAAAACCACTTTAGCATTGAAGTTAATAAGATCAAACGACCATTTCTGATTCTGTAAAATGTTTCTCGTCTTAATGTCAATAATTGAAAGCTTACTGTGTTATTTGTAAGCAGTGCCTTAAGTCGGTTCCAGCACAGCAAAGGATCTTTGTATTCTAAACATCAATATAATTAATATTTCTTGAGCTGAAAGTGCATCAAATTCCAAATGACTCTTAGGAAATGATAAATAAAAATGAATCAAGAAAATATTGCTCATAGCATGTTATCAACATATGTAGAAAGGGTCAAATATGAAAACCAGACCTCTATTAAAATATCCTTTCAAGACACACACAGTGATGGCTAAGGAATCCCTTTCACATCTTTCTCCCTGCCTTTTGTTGTTATTATTCCATTGGGCTTTGCCATGCTTCTGTGAGCCCACAGCATATTTACATGCACGTGCGCACAAAGATTCTTCACTCAGATCTCCAATTCCTTAAAGAAGCAGTGAAAACTCTCCTGGGAGCATATTCTGCCTGTTTCAGGAAATTCTTTGTTCAGAAACCATTATTTAGGGAAACAAATATTTTCTTGCCTCCTCTAGGAAAGTTGAAAGTATAGAATTGGAGTGAAAAGGCTTGATTTGGGAGAGGTAGCAAGCAAGATAGTGGTCCTATCCAATTCCATTTCTCAAGCTACTGTGACTTTGGAAAATCCCACTTTGCCTAACCCTGCTGGCTAAGAAAGATTTATCAAGAAGCACAGGCAAACCAGCAATATCCTAGTAAAGTTCTCTTCTAAATCTCTCTGGAGCCTCTCTCAGCTCTGGGTTCAGAACAAATAGCCACGAAAGACAATTCAGTTGATCAAACTACAATGACTTAAATCTCCAGCCTTAGGGAGTTAATAATGTAATCCTCAAATAACCAGCAATTAGGAAAGACAGGGATTTATATCATAAGATCAGAAAAAAGAAACACCCTCCTGGGTAAAGGGAGATCGTTCACCAGCTGGTTAACCACAGAGTTGTCCCAGTTTGTGCTTCCAACTTGATAGTGCTCCGTGCCTGGGCACACAGCCTGGTATTTTGTTGCACAGTGAAGGAAAGACCTATGAAAACCAGGACTACTGTAGGGGCATTCTCTACGAAGGGCTGAGAGCTCAAAAGCTATGGACATGTAGAGCCATAGCTATCAAACAGATTTGCATTGATAAATAAACTTGGACTTAATAGTTATCATTTTTTAGAAAAGCCAGCCTCCACTAATGAACAGGAACTGTGAATAGCCTTTGATTTCATTTGTTTTGTGGTATAGACAGTCTTACATTTTCTCAAGTGGTGTGAAAGTGAAAGCCGGGCACTGATATTGACATACGCTACATTTATTTTGTGGTATGTTTGGCATGTGGCTGGTGATGCTGGATTAATAAATCCTTCTAGACACGACTCAGTGTTGCCTCTCTTTGCCCAAATGTGTGTGTGCTTCAGAACCACTATGAAATTATTTTTAGAAACTAGCAATTTGTACCACCCCACTATCATGCTTTTGAACATTGGGATATAATTTTTATTCCATTTGAATTTTGGAAATAATATCTACTAATACTGAAAACACTAACTCCCCTATATTGGTAGGGCTTAATGAAAACAGAATGCAAGAAAATAAATAAGTAAATAATTAAATAGAGAAAGGCAAGAAACAAATAAAAGATTGGTGAATTTTTAAAATATACATCTATAATGAGCAAATAACATTTGCAGTAGAGCTTTTCTTTATGTGAGAAAGTAAAATAAAATTCCTGCTGACTTTCAAAAACCAACTGTTTGGGTCATTTTTTTAAAAAAAAAGCCAACAGATTAAAGGAACTCCATTTATGAAAATCAAATGAACCCCTAACAAAGCTTGTTTGGGGCCATGAATAAATCATCCAGGCATGCATTACTCACTGTTATCAAGAAACAAACTGGTGATTCCAGGAACTGAGCTCAGAGGTACCGGATCTGGGGGATGAGTAAACTCACTTGCTCACACCCAGCGCTGGAAGGGAGAAGACCAGCTGTAGGGACCACAAAGGGATGCAGAATTTATCAATCCTGCACTGCATTTGAGGGTGCAGTCTGGCAGCCCTTACGCTTAGGACCACAAAACAAATAAAATTCAACCCATAGAACCCTAATTTAGAATATTGCACATAGTAAGCAGCCAATAAGATCTGTGAATACCTTTCTAAACAAATATGTAATATACATAAGAAACAGGGAGGTGTGCAAAAGATAATACGGTGAGAATTTGAATTTAAAGGTTGAGAATTTGAATTTAAAGGAGCCGGCTAGAACATTCCTTGACGATATGTTTTTAGCTTAGCTGATCTACTGGCTCATGGCTTGGGAGCAAGATAGGTCTTTTGAGGAAGGGACATGGGAGGGAGGACTGGGAGCTTCCCACACTGAATCCACTAATCAACGCCTATGTGTGTTCCAGGTCCAAACTGTTTTGCAGGAACTACAATAATTCCGGCTGGCATCGAAGTGAAAGTGGACGAATGTAACATCTGTCACTGTCACAACGGGGACTGGTGGAAGCCCGCTCAGTGTTCAAAGCGTGAATGCCAAGGCAAGCAGACTGTGTAGGACGAATTTCCAACCCGTGACAAGTTCTTAGGAGAGGATGCTATGGCTTCCACACTGCACATGTTTAACACAGGACAGAACAAAAACCACACTCCTGCCAGCTACAACAGGGTCACCAGCAAAAACCTTTTAGGGTTGACAAAAGGAATATTTTACTAAGAGGAAATTTCTCTTCTTCTCTTGCTATATAAAATATATATAGTATACAGCTATCTAAACTGCTTTTGTAATTACCAATGCTTGATGGTGACTTAATGACTGGGTTTCTGGAACTAAAAAAAGAAATAGCCTTGCACAGGCTCCTTTCCTGGTGATATCTCTCACCTCCCAGCCTACAGTTCTCTGATTTACTCCATTTTACTCTTCGGGACACCCCACGTGGCATTTTTCTCTTACAGTAGGGGGTTTTATTTTGTTTTGTTTTCACTTCTAGAATCTAAATGGCCAGATTTGACTGCACAGTAAATTTTGAGTTGTGTCCAAAAAGTTTTGGTAAAGAAACATCGGTGGGGAGGATCCTTTCTCTACAGGAAGATGCAAGAGCACCCAACCAGTCGCTCTCTTGAAGGGAATAATTCCCTGTAAGCTAAGAAAAGAGGGGTGACCACATAGATAGACCCTCTGCGGGGCTAGATCAACTGGTACTTTGTCCATTATGTGGAGGTTTACGATTTGATTCTTACAAGCTACACATTTCATACACAAAACCTTGAAACTGCCAATCAAATGAATAGGGGAAGAAAACTATGGACTTGACTACAGAATCCAAAGAGAGACAGGTATTTAAAATTGTAGCATTCGATATCACATCTTTTCATGAAGCAGACTTGAGTTTGGTTTATAACTAAACACACCGTAAACCCACTCTGTCACCAGGCAATACAAACACCAGAACCAGGGTGAGTAGCCCCACTGTGAATCTGAATCCTTTTCAACACTTCTGACTTTCGAGCTCCAATTTGATTGAAAGTCAGTGATACACAGCGCAGTTTTTATGGTTCAGGACTGTGTTTGCCATGTTGCAGTAACAACCACTCAACCCTAAATCAAAACTCCAGATTCAGGACACTCTTGCCACCTCAAGTGCTGATTTCAATTCAAGATTAGGGTAGAGTGAATCTTGCACAATATAATTCCATTTGTTGAACATTTTTTTAAATGTATATATTAGATACTGAACTACTAAAAATGAAACTTTGAAGAGTCTCAAGGTTGCCCTGGCAATGCTGCTAGTATAGTAACAGAAAAAAATAAATACACAGGGTATTTGATGCCACCTCGGTTCAAGTGCAAAATTGGTAATTCTGAGACCACATGGCCCAGTTAGTCTCTTATTTCGCTCTCCTGTCCTAAAAACCCTGGTGCAGATCCAGTAGGGTCCTTGAGGATACTTTAAGGTTGTTTTCATTATCAGTGTCCCTTCTTTACCTTCTCTCACCCCAACTTAGTGTTCGCCAAGGTTCCTGTGGAGTGCTGTATTCTGAAACAGCGCATCCCAACCTTAGCAGAATTGACATTTACATCAGATCATTTGTTTGTGTGCATGGAGTGGGGTCCTGAACATTTTTAGTAGGAGCCTGGCTTCTGTCTGTTCCCTTTGTGACAATCAAATGTCCTCAAGGGATGGGTTTGGGCACAGGATTTCACCTGGTTTCACTGGTCTAGAATAATCACAGAGGGGTTTCCACCAGGGAGGCAAACTCTGCCTGCCTGTATGGCTTTGGAGAACCTGAGTCCTCTGAGTGATACACATACAGCAGCCTGGAAGTTTAGTTTCCTCTGTAAGGAAAAATTCTTCTAACACTACAGGTCCACTCTCAGAACACCCATTTCTAGTCTTGTTTTTCATTTAAAATTGTCAACTCTCCGCCCTGGAAATGTCTCTTGTCATCAAAAAAGAGTTGTCATTTCCAAAATTAATGTGCTGATGAGTTGCACCTGACACTTTTATGCACACTGTGCTTGTGTTATGATACAAATAGCCATGCCAGTGCCACCGTGAGGAAGAACATCTTGCCGCCTTCCCTTAGAACACCAATTTGCTGCAAGGTTGGTGCCTTTCAGTTGCCACTATGGATACATTATAAAGACAGTCATGAATCATTCATGAACAACTCTGCATGATTTATGCCTGCATTCAACAGTAAAGGCATTCCACACCTCAGCTTGGGTCTAGACAGAAACGTATTATAGAGCTCTTTTTGCCCTGAGGTTGCCTGTTGCCAGCTTCAAAAATCCACACTTGGAAAGAAATAATAATAACAATAATTAATGACAGGAATAAGGTCTGAAACTCAGAAAATATCATTAATAGAGCCATGTAGCATAGTATCTTATCTATTATTCAGGAGCTACTGTGTCCTTTCCAGAAAACAGAAAGAAAGTGCACCTGGGAAGCTGAGGTACAGAAATTCTGCATCAAAATCTTAGCACAGTTAAAGTCACAGCAAGAATCCACTAGAATGGAGGATGACATCCACGCAGACACTGTCTTTAGAGCTGACAGGAAGTGTCACTCGGTGGGCTCTGCTACCAACTAGAGAGGGAGAGTTTTGTTGTTGTTCTTCTTCAGTTTGGGGTTTTTTGTTTGTTTTCATTTTCACTACCAGTGTTTCCTTTAAGACTCCGTAGCTGACATTTTTCCCCCTTTAGGGAGAGATGAACCTATACTGTGACAGAATTTCTCACAGACCAATCAACATTTTATGACTTCCTTCTATCCAAGTCATTGAGAAATTCTTTCCAAACTCTGAACAGCAGAGTTCTGGTCTCACCTGCCATCCATTTATTTATTTATTTATCTATTTATTTATTTATTTATTTTCCCTTCAAAGGTTTTGTTTATAGCCACCGGGTCACCTCTGTATCTCCATTTTTCTTCTGTCTTTGGTTCTCCACTTTAACTACAGCTGTGTTTAAATAAGGGATCAACATCTTGTTTGTCAGCTGATGCCTGTTAAAAATATGATTCAGTTTCTAAAATCTTTGAAAAATGGTGTGCCTGAAAACTAGTGAAAAAAAACAAAAAAATCTAAACACTAAACTGTATAAAGGGGACTCTAGCAACAATATTTGATGTGTAAAAAAATATATTATTAAAAAATTATTTTGTTAAATATAAAGTGTGTTAAGCAGCAAACATTGTTTGTGGCATATTTTTCTTCCCCAATTTCTCTCTTTCCCCACCCTCATGACTGAATGAATGGCTCTTGGTGACTTTTCTCATCTGAAAGTACAGATTTCATTGCAGCCTTATTCAATGAAGATTAAATACTAGTTTTAGAATGTATCTGTGCCCATTTTCATACTCATTAGACAAGTCAAAGCTGACTCAGGGATCAGAGAAGAGCTCAAATAGACAAACGATGAGAGTGTGAACCTTTCCTGATTCCATGTCCATATTCAGTACTAGTGATAACCTGTAATTATTGAGTATTCTCACTTTGTCAGGGCCTGGATTATGCCCTGTGTTCAATTCACACAGTCACTTTATGAGGGTTCTGATTTTTCTCCTTTGCACTGCAGAAAATCAGAACATAAAGAAGTTAAGTGTTCTACCCAAGTGCATGGGTTAGGGAGCGGCAAAGCAGGAATTTCTCATAAAAGTTTCAATGCACAAAAATCAAGAAAATAGTGCAAGACTCTTCCATCTACCCAAAGCTTAGATCCCTTAGTCATCAAAATTTTACATAATACTTTATTCCTTTCCTCCAGCAAATTTTTCTTTAAAACAAATATCAAACATCATATCACTTTATGAGCCTGCAACTCATAGTAATCATCTTTTTAAAAAGTGACATTTTTGCACAAAACCTGTTATGTATCATCAAACCTAATGAAATTAGTAACCCCTGAGTATCATTTAACACCTAATCTGTAGTCAAATGTCTTAAATTTGATAAAAAGAGGATGAATCTTACATGATCTAAACCACCCTTAACCATGCATCTAGTTTTTCTGACTCTTAAATTCAAAGTACAGATTTAAGCTCTGCTGTCCACAGATACGGGCTCTCACAGCATCCGGGGTTTGTTGTTTTTATTGGAGGATTTGTTCAAGGAATATTATTTTTTGAACCTTCCATGTTATACTTCCCCCTAGAACCTGATGTTTCCCACCAATTGACTTCTAAGGAGTACCAAAGAGCCCCAGAGCAAGACCCGTAGTCGGTGGCCAGCACTCAAAGGACAGCATTTCCTCTGTGTGTAAGCTCTCCTCAGGTTTTCTTTTTCCTTTAGACAGACTGCCTGATGCATAGTAAAAAAGAATAAAACAATATTTTATAAATTGCCATCATTTCATGCATTGTTAGAGAAAGAAACAACAAAACCAAACACAAAGAAAACATCAATATCGTGTCCCCAAAGACGCAAATTCACACTTCTACTGGACCAACATTTTTCTAAAAGATTAGACTTTCTTGTGTTTCATTTTCCCCTGCAGCCACTTCTTGACTTTCTTACCCGTTGTAAAGGATTGTTTACAGTCGATTCAGACTCAAGCATCACGGAGAAGCCACCTCAAAGCACAAGACAGAGAGCTATGCATATACCAAGCCCGGTTCACTGTCGTTGGAGCGCGTATGTTAGGATTGTTACTCTTTTAAAGAATATTTTCATGACTTTGAAAGACAAAATGGTAGCTCTGAGTCAACAAACTCACATGTTTCTGACTATATTCACAAGGCTTTTGTACCTTAGCTTGCTCACACTTCCCAGTGAGCTTCAAACTGCCCCGCTGGGTATAAACACCTGATTCCTTCAGCTCTGCATTACCCACCCGACAGCCCATAGTTGCCATGAACAAGACATGGCTGGTGCCTTTCACAAAACAAAAATTAAATGGGCCAAACTGTGTTTCTTTCTTGGAATTTTAAAGCCTCAAAATTTATTTTATAGTCTAAATATTTTCAACTGTAATACTGACATGATGGCTTTCTTTTTAACTTTTGAAAATCTTCAACTCATCATTTTTTAATCCAAAACTAATTTTTAAAAAAGAAACACTCAGGCTCATATTTGTAAACTAACTTTCAGTAAGAGTACTTTCAAATAGCCATACTTTTAGAATTAAGTTTGAGCTTTGTATTTTTCAAAATAAATAGACATTTGAAGTGGATAGGAGAGGAGAGGAATTTGGGTGTAGTTTGCTACCATTTCTTGGGCTTTTTCTGTCTCAGACACCGTAGTGGGCCTTTTCCATTAAACGACAGCATGCATTCATTAGTTCAATCAGCATCATAAGCCGTGAAATTATGGACTGGTTTTTCCACTTTGCTGACAGGAACACTGAGGTCCAGGGAGATTTTGTAGTTTTTCTCAGACTCACACATTAGAAAAAGGTAAAAGCAGTTTTATATCAAATGGTTGACAATATTAAACAGAATAATGCTCATAAAGCATCAAAAGGTAGAGACACATATAAGAAGACCCAATTACACATCACCTATCACTATGAGACCGGTGTAAACAGAGGAGATAAGGGTGACCTGAGATGGCTTTGAATCTAGAGGCTTAGGTGCAAGTTGGGCAGGTATGTAGGGAGTGATTTTTGTGGAAAAGAAAATAAATAATGTATTTTTTTATGTTGTAAACATGAGGTGTGCTTTCAGTATGAGACTAGAGATGAAAGTGTACTAGGAGAGATATAACTAGAAAGAAAATCCAATTGTTAAGACCTGAAAAATCTTGCTAAGAAAATTGGGTGTGAATTTTCCTGATACTGTGGATTAACTGACATCAAAAAGTAAGATAAAATGGCCATATTTGTATTTCAAAGGTCATTCTGACAGAAGATGGTAAGATGAATTGAAACCTGGAGAGAGAGGTGGGGACCCTGGTGAGAGGGGGTTACAACAGCCCAGAAAATAAAAAATAATAATAATAATAATGAGAATCTTTTCTAGCATGAGGGACTCAAACAGAGCAGCTGGGACAAGACCACATGGAGATTAAATGGAGATTCAAGAATCAAAAGTCACATTGCTAGCTCAACAGACTAGAAGGACACTGATGTCAGTAACAACAATCAACAATGTGGAAACCGGGCTTTATTTCGGGAGTGCATGACCTCATTCTCACACCTTATTCTGAACATGCTAACAATGCATCAGATATTTAGAATCACCTTCATGTATGCTCACCTCCACGGCAGCCCGCCCTGCTTCTGTTTGTCAGTGTTCATCCTGATTTGAAGAAGTGCAACTTGAATAGCCAAAGTTCACCTCTGGACATATGTTTAGTTTTTCAGAGTATTCTTGAAATAGAAGTCAAAGTGGGACGGAGCGAGAATAACTGGGTTTTTTATTAGTTGGTAGACATTATTAATCTCATACCAGAATTTGTTCATGTACTGTAGGTTGCTTATAAGTTTCGGATACCCCTCTTCACTTTTGCCCGTTTAGAATACAAAATATTAGCTTTCTTATTGCTCACCAGGATTCTGGAAAATTTTAAAAGGCATTATTTAGCTTGCCATTCTGTTTATTTGTTCTTCCACAGAACATATAGGGTGCAAAAGCAATTGAGGTCTTGGGAAAAACTTTCAATTTGAGATTTCTAAGATGCTTAACTTTATCCCACTTTACATATTGTATATTATTTATTATTATATAGTATATATTAAACTTTATCCCATCTTATTATATACTAAATATTTTATATATTTTGTATTTTGTATATTGTATACTGTATGTTATATATTGTATCTGTATAAATGGGCTTTGTGGGGGGTTTTGTTTCATTTTATTTTTAATTAATCACAGCATTGAGTCAACCAGACCCATTAACTGCATTTCTCATTTAGACCTTTCAGAGACGCATTTGCAGATGCAATTTAATTTGTTGACCTGTGATCGATAGCAATTAATAGCATCCCTTTAATCTTGTAGAATGGTCCTTCTCTAACTTACAGTAGCCACCTTCTCAAGGGAAAGGTACCCACACAGGCTGGTTTATTGGGCTCTAAGCCATAGTTCCCATCAACCACCTACTTCCTGATGACTTAGTAGCTACTTCAGAAGTCTCTATTTTCTAACGCACTTTCGATTATCATGCAAAAATCCATCTCAGCTCTACAATTCCTCCACTGCAAGTTTATCATGCAAATACCGTGGGCCTGGGATGTTAAGACAAGTACTACAATTATGTTTTTAGCTCAAAAGTAGATATAACCTTTAAAGGTGTGTTATACTAATATAATCGATGCTTCAATTTTCTGGGGCTTCCTTATGTTGTTACAGCTAACTAGATCTCTGCAAGCAATTTTTCCTTTTTATGTATTATATAATGACAAGGTTTATTCATTTATTAAAAAAAAAGAAAAAAGAAAAACTTACCAGCTTAGAAAGTAGGCATTGTGGTTAAACTAAATGTTACATTTTTTTCCCTGTCCTTGGGGAGTTTGCAATGTGGTGGGCCAAACCAAAGGCAAGTCTGCAACAACAGAACCGGCAGTGCTCTCAGTATGAACAGGGCCAGGGGGAACACAGGTCATCCTGGCCTGCAGGGAGACTTTCTGGGAGATGGAGGTTGTTGTCTATAATTTAAAACGGAAACAGACCAAGTGAACAACAAAGAACATGGTCAGTGTAGTCTTAGAGTTTATAAGAGAGCACTTCTGCTGACACAGCTCAGATCATGCAACTGCTAGTGATGAGATCCATTCACATCAATAAGTATGTGCCCTGGCACAAATCCAGGGCCCTGGAACGATTGTTTTTAAAGCAAAGACAGGTTACTCCCACAGTGCAAAAGAATCATTTGTCATGTTGACATCAGCACATTTTTTCCTATGGTCAATTCACTGGCCAGTGGAGTACCCTTTCCCCTACCCATTGAGGGTTCAAAGTGCACTGTATTTTATTAAAACCTGCATCTCTATAGGAATTTGGGAAACACCATCTCCAGCAGTTGAGTATTGTTGGCTTTATCTATTCAACTCCTACTTGAAACTGGGCTTAGTTGTGGAAAAGAAGGCTGGAGGCAGTGTTAAAACATCAGTTAGCAAGCAAGAGATGTTGGAATGAAGATGACATCATGAGGGTCATCTGCAAAACTGATACCAGTTTGCGAGTGTGTGTGTGTGTGTGTGTGTGTGTGTGTGTGTGTGTGTGCTGAACCCAGGACTCCTTCATGCTAATTTATAGCTCCAGGTTTTTCTCTCTTTCTTTCTTTTTTTCTTCCTTTCTTTCTTTTTCTTTCTTTTTTTGAGACAGAGTGCCACTAAATCACTAAGTTAATGAGATCACACTGGGCTCAAACTGAGCAGTCCTCTTGTTTCAGCCTCCAAGAGATTTGGGATTACAGGCATGCGCCACAATACCCAGCTACAAGACTTGTCTTGAAAATCAATTGTCAAGAAGTTCTTGTGTTATAATTTCACAAGCAGATAATAAAAAGATACTAGGCAATGTCTTACAGATGTATTTTAAGGTTACTGGTATATAAATAGAGGGTATATGATTTTCAAATTGCGAGTATAAAAAGGCTAAGGTGCATATAAATGTGTATATTTGTATCTATGTATAACTAGTCAAGACCGAAACATGTACAGAAATGTAAAAAGCTATAAATATTGTGGCAGACTGATGGCTGTATCATTAAGATCAAATACTTGCTATGTCTCCATCTACTCGATAAATGTTTCCTCTTCTGTACCTAACAAATGCAGGCTTATTTAGCTTACAGAAATTCTTACCCCACCTTTGCTTTACCGTGAAGCATTTCATTAGTTCTGCTTGTTCATAGATTTAATTTCCCATCTCTAATCATTTGTGGCTCACATGGCCCATTGATTTCAGAGATAGGACACATGAGCATAGGCGAGTGAGAGCAGGACACAAAAGCCAAGCTGCCATGGAATCCAAAATTATTGAAGTAACAATGAAAAATATGTACATATTTTCTATTAAATGTGAAAACTATTGACGTAAGCATGTGCTTTGGGTTTCTTTCACTAGCTTACTTTTTTCTTTGTTTGGGCAATGGTTTTTTGGGTGGTTTGTTTGGTTGGTTGGTTGGTTGGTTTTTATATCTAGATGATCATTTCTGTTTGAGAGGACTTTATTTTCATTCACGTGCACTCATTACTGTTTGATGTGGCTTTGCAGGGCATCAGCCCACTGAGATAAACAGATAGCTTACTGGGGTATCAGACATGTAAAGGATACACACATGTACTTGGAGGAGAATGTTCTCCAAGCCACTTCATTTGCTTATACAAGGACATTTGCATCCTGTTGGTTGGAATGGATTCCACTTTCAGTTCCCCAGAGAGCTTCCAAGTTCTAATCCTCACTTGTCTGTTTCTTTAGTCTGACAAGTATTCTGCTTTCTGTATGTTAACTTTAATTGCTTGAGTTTGCTTTGGTTACCCATCTGCCCCTTTTAGTCCATGAGTTATTGAGTATGAGGCACACTTTAGATATACATATTAGTCTGAGAGGCCCCTGCACCACTCATCAATGAGAAAAGAGCCAAAAATGTCCCATTTCTCTGTCTCTTCCTTGCATCAAAGCTATTTTCTTATCAGCAGTCAGGCCACTGGCTGTCAAGACTCCAGAGTGAGCAGTCTATAATAGCTTCAGGAAAACAACCCAGCCTAATGTTCATTTGAAGAAAAAAAAAAAAAAAACTTTTGGAATCAGCTGTCCTCCAATCAGCAGGAGGCCAAAGCTCACAGCATCACAGACGTGAAATGATGCATCTGATAAAAAAATAAAGTAACTTAAAAACGGGGGACGTGCACAGAATGATGGTATTCCACAACACCAGTGTAGCGTGCGATGATACATTTCCCTCTTTGCACTTGCAGAAGTAAAACTAGAACATCTGTAATCACATATTCCACCCCATTGATTTGCACTTGGAGAAAATGGAAAGCTACTCATCAAACTCATATGCTTATTGAAATAATGTCAACTCAGAAAAATACTCTTTGTTTACCATATAATCTATATTCCAGTACAAATAAATCTACAGTATGTAGGCTGAGAGGACATCACCAAATCACTTCTTTAGCTGCCTCCCTGAAATAAAGGGGCATATTGGCAATGTGTAATGCTGGTATTGAAGTACAAGAAATATATTGTTTAACCCTCTTCTCAGGCATGTAATGAACTACAAATTTTTTAAACTGGTTAATTTGGAAAATTGCATATTTTAGCATCATCAGAACTGAGGTTGAACTAAACTATCTGGCTCAAAATAATTTGCTTTGAGACTCAACTTATGTCTATTGGGCTGGATCAAATAAACCGGGTCACTGGAAATATCCACTTCTTAATGGCTTCATAAAAGCTGTCAGACACTTTTTTCAGTGTCAGAGATTGAATCCTGGTCCTCATACATGCTAGGCAAACACTCTAGCCCTAAGCTACATCCCCAGCAAGGCCAAGTGCTTTCTTTTTTACGTAAATAATTCAAACTTGGGTGAATATTTTTTTAATTTTTTGTCATGGGAACACAAAGCATGGGATTCACTCTCTTAAGTACAACACATATTTTTAATTATAGGCACAATCTTATACAGCAAGTACTTATAATATCTTCATTTTACTTAATGGAAGCTTTAGACCTATTGATTATTAGCTCTCCATTTCCTTCTCCCTCCTCTCTGGAAACACTAGTGTCCTCTTTGATTTTGTGAATTTCACTGTTAGATGTGTCCTGTAAGTGGAATCATGCTATATTTGCCCTTGTGTGACTCGTTTCTCTCACTTAGCATAATGTCCTCGATGTCCTTCTATGCTGACATATTTTGCATCATTGCCTTCTTTTGTAAAGGTGAATCAGATTCCACTATCATCATACACTACCTTTTCTTTATCCATTCACTTATCAATGAACATGTAGATTGTCTCCACATCTTTTCTATTTGGAATACTGCTGTGATGGACACAGGAATAAACTAATATTTTGAAACACTATTGAATTACACTATGAACAAAGAAAATTACACAAACTTATTTGATCCACACACGGTGGATTGCTAGCATTTCAGAACCCCCCCCCCCCGGCCTTTCCAAGTCTCTGTCCTCGCCACCTCCAAGGATAATTCCACCAGGAATGGTTGAGCTTTCAACAGGTTAGGTGTGGAAGCAGTCTGCAAGTAGAATCATCCCATGTGCATCTTTTGAACATGATACCTTTCACTCAGCATTTTACTTGTGAGATTCAGCTTCACCTTTTTTCCTTGGGGAAAAATGGAATGTAATTTCATTGAGGTAGTTATATCCCTGCATTTCCATGGCAAACTGTAAATATTAATGTTAAAATACTGAAATCTCACCAAACATCGGAGCCTATGAATGGAGGGATATTTCTGTAATTCACACTTCTTTCCTTTTCTAAGGCTTCAATAACACATTAATTCACAAACTTACTGGACTCAAAGGTGAGTAGCTGCTTCTAAGCAAAGCAGCTTGGAGCAGAGCGAGGCAAGGTTTCTAGTCTGGAAAAAGAGGGTTCATTGTTCACTGTAGATTGCATTGTTTCTAAATGGATTTGTTGTCTATTACTTTCTCCTTTCTTCAGTAAAGTCTTTCATTGGCCCATAAAGGGAAGCCTGTTGCCCCACACACGAGCTCAGGAAAGTGACTTCTGAAATAAAGAGAGGAGAAGCATTTAACACTCAGCGTGGGATCTCTGGAGACCCTGGGGACCTGAAAACAGCTCCTTCCAGCAGCACTGTTGTGTCGTGTCTATAATCTCTGCCTGGAATGCCTTGAGCTAACCCACCATCACTCACTGCTGGGCCGTCTCTGTCTCTGCTCCATCCTTCAGTTCAGAGCACCACTTCCTTATTCCTAGAGCATAAGGAAGTTGTTCTCTTCACCAGTCTATAGGTGGAAGAGACCCTAGCCAAGTCCCTGACATACAGAAAGTTCTCAATTAACATCTCAACAAGCAAGTGCACAAAAAAAAGCAGGTAAATATTGCGAGCATTTTCAGAACACACAACTGATTTTACTCCTGAATCTTTTGTTTCTTTCTTGATGTTCCTGTTTCAGTACAGATGCTTAAATCTCTTTAAACAAATCTGAAGAAAATGTTAAGTATCAAATACATGTGCATTGTAGGACTGGAGGGCAGCAGCTCAGCAATTTAATGCTAAAGCCATCAAATAAATAAATAGTCAATAAAACAAATACATCCGATTAGAAGGGAGCATATTGCAATGCTTCATCTCAGGCAAATGGATCAATGTGTACTATCAAAATGACATTCTTATAAAGACCTGGAATGTGTATATCTTTCTTACAACTAGTAGAACCACTTGGTGTGGATTGTTTGGCAGAGAAGAGCTGGCTGTGATGTTGTGTTTTCATGTTGTACATTTTTATGTTAACCTACTATTTCTTTAGAGAAACGACTCTGGCCTCTGCTTTATACGTTCTTAAAGCATAAGTAAACTTATTAATATAATCAAATGCAAAATAATATAAAACATGTGGGCTTTCTTCATAGCACAGATGATGACATGATGTGTACACTTTTCATGATTACAGATGAATCACATGACCAAATGATGCTCTGAGCTGTCATCTACGGCGATGTTCCAACATCGTTTTCTTCTGAGATTTCTTTGGCAGTGAGGAAGATTGCAAAATAGGAATGGGCTTTCCAGACTGTGAATGGCTTAAGCTGACAGTCATTGATTATTAGTAATAATTCACACAAAGCATCCTCATGCCTAACACATCAAACATATTTATAGTGCATATCATTATATATGATGGCAACAGTTCTATAATCCTGTAAGTACAACCAGTTCCCAGAAACTGATATCTTGTATCTTTAAAAAAGTTAAGCTGAAATTTTCCTGTCTATCCATTAGGATTTTTTTAAACACAATGTTTGCTCTTAAAACCTGTTTTCAACCTACAGATGACATGGAGAGAAACAATATTCTATTCCAAGATTTTTTCCATTAATCTACTCGTTATCTAAAACTCTCGGGCAAAGAAAAGGAAACCTTATGTAAAATAATTGAGTGTATTAATTTAATTCAAAGACAATTTAAGAAGAATTCTTAATTATTTACCACATGGAAGGATATTGTGGATGCAAACATGAATACAAAACAGTCCTTTTCCCCACCAAAGAAATCTTATTTTACAGTGAAGGAGAGAGAAACAAATATTGTCAATAAAACTTCATTGCATAGAGGTTTGCACAGGATGTGCTGAAGCTGAAAGGCCATTTATTATTACAAATTGGTTTGGTTTTCAAAAAGAGATTTCTGAAGAAAAGATGCTAAATCTTAAAGGATGGGCATGGCTCATCACATGCAGAGGGAGTAAAGACACAGGAGCCTCAGGGCAGAGAGTTTCGGACTCATCTAGGTTCCCCCAGGCTGAGCAGTGAAGTCTGTGAGGCTGGTGGCAGCCACGTCAGCAAGGACTGTGCAAGCCCTGCTCAGGAGCTACGCCCAGTGTGCAGGTGTGAGGACACCACTGGGAGGCCAGAGGAGAGCTGCACAGATGCATGCACCGCCTGGAGAGAGAATGCTGAGTGTAGCTACAGCAGGACATGTATGTGGGGAGAGACACTGAGCTAACAGCAAGACCAGAAGGTAGCTGGGGGAGAGAAGGAGAAAAAGAGACAGAGAGGTGGACAGAGGGAGACGGAGGAAGAGAGAGGTGGAAAAAGAAATAGATGGAGAGGGAGAGGGAGAGGTGGAAAGAGATGGAGGGAGAGAGAGACAGAGAGAGGGCAAGAGAGAAAGAAACAGAGAGAGGGGGAGAGAGATGGAAACAGAGATGCATACAGAGAGGGAGAGGGAGAAAGAAAGAGAGATGGAGACAGATGGAAAGAAAGAAGTGAGAAGAGAGAGGGGAGAAAGTAGGGAAATGAGAAGAGAGAAGA